TCTTTTTGGTCCTCATGTCCCTCCGTCGTCGGACTAAACTCTCCCCCACTTCCTCACCGCCTCGGCCGTATCTAGACCCACAGGGTGTAGAACAGACCGCGCTTCAATATTGAGCATAATTTAAAAATGTCTGTGTCAAGCTCACTGCAACACACTGCTGCAGGAGGATAACCAGGAAGCGAGGTAGGAGGGCAAAATAGGTTTAGCGCCACCGCAGCACGGAAGGGAGAATTACGCCCAGGAGCAAATGGATAAAAATAGACCGGAGGGAAAAAAAACATGAATCGATTCCCCTGCGGACGTGTCGATGCATCGGATCGTCGGCTGTTGGATCGATGCATCGATACAAAACGACTATTATTTACACCCCTAGTCGTGACACTACCCCATTTTGTAGCTGGAATACAATACTAACATCTAGCACTTCTTTATAAAGAATACTATTGATTAGGGCTAAAACAAGTTGTCTGATTAATCACAATTAATTGATTATTGAAATAATTGTCAACTAATTTAGTAATCAATTAATCATTAACCATAGTATAGGACTCTAAATCATGCCTTGAGCTGACAGAACAACCCACTTACAGCAGTATTTAGAACAAAATTGCAAAAACAAAATATAAACATTTTGCATTTAAGATTAAAAAAAAATTTATTGGTCCATAAATATGTTCTATCTAGAACTCCTCAAGTAGAAAGTTTCGCCTCGTTTAATTCTCTACATAATCTTCTTCAAGCTATTTGATTATCAGAAAATTAGCAAAATAATCGTTTGTTGCAGCCCCACCATTGATCTTGTTTTTTAAAATACTTTTTAGAGTACATTTAGCATACTTTAAATGAGTTTAATTTTGATGAGGTTGACATAAAAAAACTGCTTTCAAGTAAATTTAATTTGATCTATGCATTCTAAGCTAATTAACATCTAACAGACAAGGTTAATTTGAGTAAATATAAAATGCACTGCTCAATTGACATTTTAATTTATTCATTGAAACAGCTAACCAATCTAGAGCTGCACGGTTCTAAGAAAATATGACTTGGATGCAGCAAAATGTTCTCTATCTGAACAGTTCAAAATTAGTGATTCGGTTTTATACTCTACATTTGGTTCAACAAGAGAAACAGCTTAGTATAACTTGCCTTAGCTAGAATACTTTCTCCAATCTTGGTGTTATTTTTGTTCCACATCTCTACTTCAAAAGTCTAAGCTTTAGATGTGCAGATGTGCTTCAAGCACATCTATAATTTTTCAGCTTTGAAATTTTGCAAAACTTGCACAGAAGATTGTCCATGCCTTTGTTTACTCCAGACTTCACTATTGCAATTCTTATTGGGATCCCTGGCAAGAACATACAGTGATTACGCTATGTAAAAACCTTTGCTGCCAGGATCCTGATGAGAGTGAGTTAACATGACTGTATCACCCCCGTTCGTTATTCTCTACACTCGCTCCCAGTTCCTACTGTGATCAGCTACAGAATTGCTCTGCTCACTTTCCTCTGCCTTCATGGTAATACACCAACTTATTTAAAGGAACTTTTAACCTCCCACTGTCCCTCACCCTCTCTCACTTCCTCCAATACCAGCCTCCTTTATATTCCCTGGAGTTGCTGTTGCAATAAAGAGAAAGAGCCTTTGTCCTCTGCTGCTCCTCTGCTGTGGAATACTTTGCCTCCAAATTTGAGGACTGCACAGACTGTGGAATACCTTAAAATGAGCAAAAATCTTTCTTGTCAGAAAATGTTTTTTTTTTATGTAAATGTCTTGAATATATTTTTTATTGTATGCTATGTATGTAATGTGTATATAGTGCATTTTATCTGCATATTAACTCATTTTCCTTTATATGCTGCAGCTACAAATTTTCATAATTATCAGTATTACTATTATGAAGCCACTTCTAGCCTGTTAATATGTATCAATTTTATATTTTAAAGCATAATTTTGAACATGATAATAATATCTATAGGAATATGTTGTCTTTACTTGTCCCACCACAAACATTGACAAGGTATTTAGTCCATTTTATGAATAAGTTAATTCAAAAAACTTTTTTATATTTGGTAATTAAACTCACAGTGATGTTTAAAGTAAGAATAAAAAAGTTATCCAATCTTATCAGCATTTTAAATAATAAAAAATGAGTATTCACATTACCTTTACATTCTGCAATAACTACTAACTCTTTTAAAGTTAATGTTCCAGCCAATTATTATGTTATTAATGGAAATTAATCGTTTCAACTCTTTCTTATCCAGAGAATCGTACCATGAAGCAAACTCAACCTAGCTGGATTTCTTAAAGCCCATCCAGTTTAACAGATCCACAATAACTGCAATCAGGATCAGAGGTAACACAAAGCTGGTTAATAACTAGCTAACTCAATCCAGCTGGAAAAGATTATGAATCTGTGATCACGGTGGCGGCATGAAAGAGACGCCAAATAATGTGTCAAAGTATTTGCTGACTGCATAAATACGTAAGTTACACATCATTGTAACATGCATCCCAGCCTGTACTGCATATTAATCGCCTTCCCATCTGGAGTGAGGATGTAGGAGCAGATAAAAATAAAACACAAAAACATAATTTAAATTAATCTGGTTTGTTGGACTTTTAAATTCTTCTTTTATACAGTGTTCAACCAAGGGGCAGCAATCCTGTGGGTCAAACAGCTAACACACTGTTCTAGGAACTGGCCTATATATGCTAGTCTGACCCATGAAAACCTGTATAATGATCCAAAGGATCGCCTTTTGTTTTTAGGGCTTTCAGCACACAAATTGCCAAGGCAGCGCATTTCACTTTAGTGAGCTTCATATTCCTCTTCTACGCGTTTGGCTTCCGGATAGACGAGTCCGACCTGCGCCATCACACTGCAGAGCTGAGTCCAACATAGTTTTTATATGTACAGTGTGAGCAGGTAGAATGCATCAGAGCGTCATGTCGCACAGTGTGAGAACATACTGTACATCGTGAGCTATCTTTTAAACCTTGCGATTTCGTTTTACAGTGTGAGCTTTAGCTTCGTGCACCGATTGAAAATAGGCCCGGCTTTAGTAAACCAGTTGCCTCGTTTAATCCACCCTAGATGTTTTGGAAGCAAGACCAAAGAATCGAGAATCAAGAATTACAGAAAAAGGGCCTCATTTCCTCTTGGAAAAGGTAGACCTCAGCAGACAAATGTCGCTACAACTGATAGAAGTAAGCTAGTTAGAAATAATGGAATCCCTCTAGAAAGCAAGTTTGCCCGAGTGAAAACAAGGAAAACAATAACTTTTCTAAATACAACAGAAAAAGCTAAGAGAACAATCTTCACTCCAAGCAGTCTTGTCCTAAGCTGTCAGAGAAAGACAGCTTACACAGTACCCATTACTGTGTAACACAGCTTTTATCAGATCAAAATTCAAAGTTTTTAGTCCTTAAATTTTTGTTGATCCTTTAATCATCTTATTTTAACTATTCCCCTTTACTCCCTGTATCTCAGAGAATAGACTTTAAAATACTTCTGTTAGTCTATAAATCTCTGAATGGCTTAGCACCTAAATACATCACAGACTTGCTATCAGTGTATCAACCCTCCAGACCACTCAGGTCTTCTGGCTCCTGCCTGCTCTGCATACCTAGAACCAGAACTAAACATGGAGAAGCAGCATTTAGTTCCTATGCTCCACTTATCTGGAACAAACTTCCAGAAAACTTTAAAAGTGCGGAAAGCCTGAGTTCCTTTAAATCAAGACTAAAAACACATTTGTTTAGGATTGCCTTCCACTGTTCTAGTTAAACAGTTCAACTAAAACATATTTTCTTTATTCCAACTGTTTTTTTTGTTTCTGCATTTTTTATTTTATTTATTTTCCTACTTGCTTTGATTCTGTTTTATCTTCCTGTATTTCAATCATGTAAAGCACTTTGCATTGTCTTTGTACTGAATTGTGCTATACAAATAAATTTGCCTTGCCCTTGCCTTGCCTTGCCTACTATCTATAATTGTTGTGTTGTCTTTATGCCACTGGTGTCTACCTTTTTCTACTTCTTTTATTTCTCATGTTCAGCACATTGAATTATCTCTCTAATAAAACGGGCCATGTAAATAAACTTACCCTGCCTTGCCTTGCCTTTTTTTTTTTTTTACTGTTTCTTGGGTTTCTCTTGATGTATTTCTTCTAGGGATTTATTGCTGGACAGGTTCTGTTTAAATTACTTCTTGATATTAAAAGTCTGGCACTAGTCAGGCCTGACTGTAGCTTTTAAAACAATTAATACTGGACCATAACTTTTCAAGACAGGTCCAGCCTTTCTTTCTTTCTTCTAAATAAAATCAGAATTTCAAAGCACGTTTTTTTTTTTTTTTTGTTTCTCAGAGTCATATTCTCTGATATTAACACTGATTTGAAAGGATAAAAGACCGAAAACAAACACTGAAGAATTCTTTAGGGTTTTTTTTCCTCCTTTGGGAGCCTCTTGACATTCATATGAAACACATTTTTTAAAAGCTCAGAGTTCCTCCTAGGCTAATGCAGCTTACAGTGGATAGTAAAGCAGCTACCTTTTTGTTCATTTTTCTTTGCAGTTCAGTGGAACTTGATGGAGTTTTGGTGTCAGCTCAGCCTGCACCCCCGTGTGCCTGTGTGTTTTAATCTTTGCTGGAATTTCAGTAGTTTCCTCAGCCTATATGAGCGACTTCATTTCTTTCCAGCAGGTGTAACTGAAAATGGTGGCAGGAGCTGAATCAGATTTCTGTCAGGGGATTTTGTGGTTTAATACTACATTAAGAACGATATATGTTCTTCCTTGCAGAACGGTCATACAGTACCCTTGAAGCTAACCTTTTGATTTAGACAAATCTGTATGAATGCCTCTATTTTTTTCACCTGTGCACAATGCCTAGTTGGTCTATTATGTAAAATCCCAATAAACTACTCTGTGTAGCAATGCAATACTATGATAAAGTACAGCTAAATACAATACATCTCAATTGTGTGTGTTCCCAGGGAGTTTGGTCGATGGAAGGTCAATAGCCTGGCGGTGGAAAAGCGAGACAGTTTTGGTGGCAGTGGAGGTCTAGCTTGGCCCCTTGACCCAGACTTCATGCACGCCATCCGCCAGCTGGGGAGGCGCCCGACTCTCCAGATGATTACAGAGAGTCTAATCAAGAAATACGGGACCCACCTCCTTCTCTCCGCCACCCTGGGAGGTACTGAGAACAGCCTGTGCTTCAAAGCAGGCCTGATTCCCAAGGCTTCTAATGTGATTTTGTTTTGTTTCTCAAGCATATGTGGTGCTGATTTTCACCGTCTGCTGCCTGCCAAGCAACAAATCACATAATGCATTTCTTTTTTTCTTTTTTTCGGCTCACAAAGACACCCAAACACTTTGTTTAGCATACAACACATACATTAGAGAAAACAGTTAAAAACAAAAGACATATTGGAGTTTTTTAATCTGCACTTAAACCAGCATAACTTAACACATTTTCTTATGGTGATTTTTGTTGTTGTTGTTTTTGTTAATTACGGTCTTATTTCACAAAAAAATTATATTATCACTAATAGGACTAAAAAGGATAATAATTATGATGTTTGGAAATCTGACCTTTTAAAAAACATTTTTATATAATTCCCTCTGACCTCAAATCTGAATAATTTTTTTACGCATAGCATGGCTCTTCCTTTCTATTTCTATCTTTCTATCTTATCGCGTGAAGTTACGTGAACTCAATTGAACTTCTGTTCTCACGAGTTAAATCTCCGGACCTGTTGCCGGAGCCGCAGAGCCGCACCGCACCGTAGTCAAAAGGGCGGTGTGAGAGGGGGTGTGCGGGAGTTGCGGTCTCCGTCGGCTCGGTAACCGCACCGGAGCCAGTGTGAGCAAGGGGTTAGGCACATTTCAGCAATAAGACATTTGAATTAGCTTATGAAAATAAAACACAAAGTACATTGCAGTGCTATAATAATGGAAATATTGAAGAGTTGGACTAAAGTTATTAGTTTAAATAGAAAATCCAATGAAAACTATAACATTTTTTTTTAAAGAGCTCAGGATTTTTGCAGTTTCTGGGAGTTTGTTTCAGTTAAGTGAATCCTAAAGATTAAATACTGCTCTGATGGTTTATTAGCCAGAGTATTGAGTGGTCTGGGTGTTTGATCCATGTATTTATTTATTAGCTAACTGAAGTATTCTATAGTCTATTCTTTGATATACAGGTAGGCAGTCTGGGGACTTTAAAACTGAGCTGATGTGCTCCAGTTTCTCAGTTTTAGTGAGGACACATGCAGCATCAGCAGTCTGGAATTCTGACCTTTGAAGACACCTATACAGGAATCAATTCTACTAAAGATAAAACCATAGATTTTTTTTTTTTTTTAGATCTAGATAAGACGCTAGTGCGTTTGTCCTGGAGATGTTCTTCAAATGACAGAAGGCCAACTTTGTAATTGTGTTTTTTACGTCTGAAAGTTCAAGTCTGAGTCCACTTCTACGCCCAGGTTTTTAACCCGATCAATTTTGGCTCATTCATGCCCTGTTTTGCATTCCATTCATCAAGCCCTACTGATCTAGGGTCAGCCGGTAAATATTAAACGGCAGATACTCCAAAATTTATCTTTGGGGAACCCCACATGTAATTTTTCTGGACTTTGATGTACAGTTACCTCCTAAAACAAAAAAGTTCCTGTCATTGAAGTAGGATTTCAAAAAGTCGAGTGCTGTACTACTAGAAAGGCCAAAGCAGTTTTCCAAATTCTCTAATAGAAGAGTGTGTAATGTTGCACTAATGTCCAATAATAATAAAACAGCACTGTGGTTCTTCCACAGCCTGCATATAAACAGATGCCATCTCAATGCCTTGACATAGGCAGTTTCTGTACTGTGGTGAGCATGAAAGCTTTACTAGAGGATATCGAAGACAAGTCATTGTTGTGAAGGTGTTTAACTGCTAAAAAACAAGTTAAATCAATAATCTTACTGATAATATGGAACTCCCTAGTTTTGCAGTATCAGCTTGTCTAAGGAGGTTTTTTTTTTTCAAGCCTTTTGAATATTGCTGTTTTTAGGGCGTGGAGAAAAACATTAGTCTTTTAATCCTGAAGATGTTCTCCAGGTGTTAGAAAGCTATTGTTTTAATGTGTCTCAGAAGGTTCTGTACTGAAGCCTCATCAACACCCAAGACATAATCGGTGGTTTAAGCTCTTCGTCTAAAAGGATCTAGCATTTTTCAAGAGCTTTAACCACAGTGTGTGAAACCGGATCCCAGAATAAAAAACAAAAACTAAAATTTAGATAATGTATATTATATTTTTTAGTGTGTGCATGGGAGCAGCACCCCTTTTTTAAACGATCATATTGGAGCTCCAACACCTTCTGTAACCCCCATGGACCTCTTTACTGTCATGTTTCTGTGTTTACCTCTCATGAGCTGTCTGCAAATTCCCAATTATTTCTTTATTTTATTTTTTTTTGCGGTCAGTGAGATGGGTGTTTTTTTGTTTTTTTGTGTCAGTGTCACAGCGCCAACACAAGGCCGGCATACGAACTATAGCAATATTATTAGTTCTCTGTACACATATGTAGCTTTGTGTAGCTCAAAACCCAGATTTTGAGCCTGATCAGTGGTTTCTAGGTTTAAACTTAGGCTTCGCTAACTTTTAAACATGTTTTCATTCTGTCCAAAAACTCCTACTTATTTGTTCTTATTCAAGCAAAGAAAATATTGGCCAATCCTGGCATTGATCTCTCAAACATTAACAAGGGCTTGATTAGATTAATGGTCCCCTGGTGACATTTTAATGTATAGCTACGTGTCGTCTACATAGTGATGGTAAGTTATCCTGTGTTTTATAACTTAAAGGTATTGTGGAGGATGTTCTTTTTCCGGATGGGTCATCAAAATAAGTGGTCCTCCTAAATGTCAATCATTGTGGTCATATGTTTACGCAAGGCCGTACTACGCACTCATTCCCATTTTTACTTACCTGTGGTGAGTCTGACATAGCCTCGTGAGACCATCCTGATCTCGCGAGCTTTCAAGATTTCACTCGCTAATCATTCTGGAGACTCTGTTATAGAAAATTTGGAGCCGTTCACCAAACGAACGTCCAATCAGCGTTGGCTTTGAGGCGGGTTGAGGTGTGACGCAACGAGAAGCGCGACAGTTCAGTCTAAAGAACATGGCGGCTTCAGCCGATGAAACTAGCGTTAGCGTGGCTATCGAGCAAGTTTTATCAGAATTACAGAGTATTTCTTCACTGAAAGAAGAGCAAAACACTGCTCTGGAGGCTTTTCTCAGAGGAAAAGATGTTTTTGCTCTTCTCCCGACTGGTTTCGGCAAGAGTTTGATCTATCAATTGGCTCCTCTTCGTCTTCGCTCTGGTACGTCATATGCTTCGTTGATCTGATTGGTTTATTTGGCCCGTCTATCACCAACATAGGCCAATCAGCTAACCAGTATTTTCTTCCCAAAATTACTTCAACGGAAGGTTTCCACATGGATATGCGGAGCAAATCCATCTGGTGGAGTCAGGTTAAGTCTAACATACACATATTGGAAAAATTGCAAATCTTCTTTTTGAAAGTAAGCTTGTATGAGCGATGTAAACAGCAACTTTTAAACAGAGCGTGCATGAGGAGAAACTTGAGAAAAAGCTTGTGCATGCTCTCGCAGACACTTAATAAGCGCTCCCTCTCGGTAGAGGGTACAGGTTTGTGAAAAAAATTTATGAAAATCCTCCATTATACCTTTAAGTCAGGAGGAGCAGGTAGATATTAGACAGAGAGAGCCAAATCACCTAATGACAGAAAGGAATCAATATAATTCAAATAACACTCAAACCAGATAGTTAATGTACCAGAAAGACCAATCTAGTTTTCCAGTAATATTCCCTAATTATAGAGTCAAATGCTTTGCTCAGGCCCAATAACAATGGACCAGCGCTGTGGTTCAGCCACTTACATTTATGCTAATGTTATAAAACAGCTTGACAAGGGAAGTCTTATTGCTGTGCCCTTAGAAACCTGACTGGATGGCGTCAAAGCAGCTGGTCATTGTTAGGAAGGTATTAAGCTGAAGAAAAAAATCAACTTTTTTCAATAACCTCACTAATGCGCTCTTGTACTGATTGGTTGTGTTGCCATCAAAAGTACTGCAGCTCTTAATGTCGCCTGGTCGTCCTCTCAAAAGCATTTAGAATGAAAAGAAAAAAGAGAAAAAGCTGCTGAAAAATCCTTGAGCTTTACTGGTTTAAAGTAGTTTAGTCAAACTATTTTCCAGGTTTTGGCCGAAGGAGATAAGAAGTAAGGCATAAAAGACCGCAAGCAAACAGACTAGCTAGTGAAAGGTTCTGAGCAAGCTCTATATCATTTAATTAAATGGTATAGAGCTGCATCTCTCCCACTTTCCTTAAATAAGAAAAATGCAGAAATATGTGCTTGGTTTTGCATTATTCGGTGGTGGGGGGGCATCCGGATGTATCAGTGTGCTGTACAAAAATGCAAACATGCATAGTTGTCATGTTTGTTTCTTTTTAATGTGTTGCTTCCTTTATTTAGCATGTTACATCAGCATACACTGCATCCAACACAAAAGGGATAATAAATAAAAAATAAATAAATCAAGGATAAAACTCTGGGTTTGGTCACCAGGGAATTGGTCAGCGAACTGAGCTCCAGGAATGTAATAACAGTTAAAAGCACCAGCCTGTTTTTTCTGATTCATATGTCGGAGCTTCCAAATATGTGGAAAGTGTACACATCTAACATAGAGATTTTTAGATTGTTTTTTAGGGATGCACGATATAATCGGCCCCCTATCGGTATCGGCCTGTATCGGCCTTAAAACTGAATATCGGCCACCCCACCGATATTTAACCCGATATTTGATCAGCTTCTGAGTTTCTAAAGTCCAAAAAAAAAAAAATACTACTTCTTCTTCTTCCTCAAAAACTTCTTTTTTACAGACTTAAAAACTTCTAAAGACGAGGGAAAAAAATTGATACATTAAAATATCACAATATCTTCATATGCTGATATATTGCCATTTAAAAACACCATATCAATCTCTTTTGCTAATGAAATATTGCTATATGTCGTCGTTATGCTATGAAATCCCCCGAAAATTCACGAAATTTTGCCATATTTTTCTATGTTGATATATTGACGCGGTATCGATCTATTTTACTAACAAAATCTCACGAGAATTTGCAAAATATCACGAGAGTTTGTAACAGAACGATGAAATTTCACGACATTTTGAAAGTAAAATAGATCAATACCGCGTTTTTAAAAATCGATTTGATATCAGCATATGAAAATATATTTGAGTATATTATTTTTCAAAGTGTCAGAAATGGATAACAAAACTGCTATTTTCAATGACTACTTATTTTTGTCCAGCTTTAACATCGGTATCGATATCGGTTATCGGCTACATGAGTTTTAAAATATCGGCATATCGGATATCGGCCAAAATCCCAATATCGTGCATCCCTATTGTTTTTGGTTTTTCCTGTTGTCAGTTTGTCCAGTGGGTTTGTTGTATTTTTCCCCCCATTGCTCCTTCATTTTGTAACATAATCAAGCATCTATATGTTTATTCATCTGAGCAGACAGTTTAGTTCATTTAAAAAATTGAATTCAGCAGGAAAAAGCAAAAAATTTTGTTTGAGCAAATAATTTCTTGAGCGATAATTTTGAAACCCACAGAAATAAAATAAATTTGATAATGAAGGTTTGCGTCTCACAACTTTTAGATGCATCTTTTCTTCAACACAACCGACTCCATAGTGAAGTCCAGTGTTGGGAAAGTTCTCTTTCTACGTGAACTAGTTCAAAGTTCAGTTCACACATTTTAAAATGAACTAGTTCAGTTCATAGTTCACAATTACAAAAAATGAACTAGTTCATAGTTCTTTTTTTTTTTTCATATATTGCTCAATTACACCATAGCCTACTGTAGAACCACAGACAGCAATTATTTTATCAGTTGTAACTCTGAAACTGTGCGTCAGATTTCATCTTCATATCCAGTTTTGAATCCTTATCCAACCAGGGTTTACATTAGCATTGAGGGGACAGCATTTCCCCATTGTTGCTTTAACGCTTTGTTGCTGTCCATTCACTTCACACTAGTAGCAGCTGCAGCTTTCACCCTACAGTATATTCTCAAAAACATCAGGAAAAATGTGCTGCTTGAATGGTCTTTTTTATGAGTAATTATTAAAAGAAAAATAGGAAAGTAGTCTTTAAGGTGCAAATGTTTTTTTTTTATTTGAATAATTTTTTCCATTTGAAATTCCATTTCAATACATACTAAAAAGGAATACTGGAATCCTGGAAAATTATACCAGGCAGGTTTAACAAACAAGTTACATGGATAGTAAAACCCTCAAGAACAGGGGTCTTCTATGTTTTCCAGACCAAGGACCCCCAAACTGATGGCGAGATGGAGCGGGGACCCCCTAACTATATATATTGTATGAAATTGTGTCCTATAGTCACTCTATTACAGATGGAGTAATGTGAAGAAATAAATTTCTCCCTGGGATTATTAAAGTTTTTCTGATTCTGATTCCTGGTTGTTGTGAAGGAAACGGTGCCCAGCTTGAAAGAGCTCCTGTGTGTCGCTGAATGTGAGCATTGATGACTGAAAGACATCTTCTGCCTCCATTTATCTGTTTACTACAGTGTGTTGATTTCATGTTAATGAGTATTTAAAGACATTTCAATTAGTGGGGAAAAAAATGCAGGGGGGGAATATAAAAATATCAACTAACCATGCAGACCCTCATGCAGTACCTCCGTAGACCCCCTAGGGGTCGCGGATCCCCTGTTGAAGACCTCCGCTCAAGAAGATTTTACTAACACAAACTGAGGGACCAGGCTGAGGTAGGAATTTAAGGTTACTGAAGTGCGGATTTTTTTACTGAAAGCCGGCGGGCAAACTTGTTGCCATCGTCCTCACCGACCACCTGGTCATAAACCTGTTTTAAGTCGCCTCCATGCTGCTGTGGCTTCCACGCTGCATTTTGTTTTGATGACGCACGCGGCTGTAGGCTACGACGCTGGTAGCTGGTGTTGCCAGATTGGGTGTTTTTCCCGCTACATATTAAGGCTTGTTTACGGTGTGATTTAGCTGGGGTTTCGCCTGGAGGGCTTTATAGAAATCTGGCAACCTATTGAACGGAGTTGAACTGAGAGAGCGTGCCGTTCACAGACGCCAGAATGAACGAGTTCACAATGACGTTCATCAGGCAATAATGCAGTACGTTCAGTTCACGTTCGCCCAACATATGAACGAGTTCATGAACTTTCGTTCAATGAACGCGTTCAGGCACAACACTGGTGAAGTCGTTAGAAGAACTCTGCAGAGGATGACTGCTGCCAGTTTAGCCATTTGATTCAGGTCTTTAGGAAAAGGGACACACCCAGAGTAAAGTTTCTAGAGGATTTGAGTTTGAAATAAACAGTTTAGAAGGTTACATCAAGCAGATGCTGAAAAAGTTTCAGAATGTATGGAGGTTGGTTGAGGACCAAAGAGCTGAGACCAGGAAGCAGAGGTCTCAGCTCTTCCTGGTCTCCTGGTTTCAGAATGTATGGAGGTTGGTTGAGGACCCAAAAGCTGAGACCAGGAAGCAGAGGTGAATCTCGTAGATTTAATGAAAAAACAGTGGCAGACAACCAAAATACTATGAACCGAAAATCCAGAAAGCATCAGGTAAAACTCACATGTGAAGCCAGAGACGAGGGAATAACAAAATAACTACAATGAACCAGCACTGAGTCACTGCAGAGGTGGAGTATATATGGGGAACAGAACAAAGGATCGACTAATGAGCTGAATATGGAGCAGGTGTGAGTGGAACTAACTAGAAGGAAGCCAAGGGGAAAAGAAACAAGCACAAGGGGGCAACAGAGAGTACCTAAAGGCTGATGAAATAAATTGAAAATAAACCAAACATCAACAAAACAGAATAACTGATAACTAAAAACTGAGAGTCCCAAAAGGGGAGAACCGTGACAAAAGAGGTTGCGAGGACTAGAGGTAGACATTTCTCATATCGTTTATCATTTTTTCGCCTTGATAGGAATTTCAATATACTGTCTAAATGATAGATTAGAAATAATGACATTTAAATCTTCCAGAAAAGTGACTGAAATTTCAAAATTATTTATTTATTTTTCCTTTTCTTTCTTTTCTTCCTGTAGGAAATTAACTCATGTAGAGAGTCTGTCTAAATGCAGTTGCTGTGGGATTTTTATAAATAAACCAAATTAATTTCAGTAATATTAATCATAGTTCTTCTTCTAACCCATTTCATGAAGAAGCCCATTTTAAACCCACATTTACCTAAAAAGACTGTAAAGAAGTAATGGAAAGTTTTGGGTTTTTTTTATCCTCACATTTATGGTTATCACAATAGTAACACAAAACATAGTGATAAGACTTTAGGCCTAGTGAGAACTCCCAATACACTAATATCATTATGTTGCACAATGAATGTCAGCACAGGCAGATCTATCATAGAAAATATGGTACAGTTAAAAATATTGATTTGGTTAGCAGATACTGCAGTATGGATTTGAGTATGTTTCCCTCAATGCCAGTTAAAAACATAGAAGAACTCGCCTTGTAGGCTCTAAGTCATGTTCCTTTACAGTAACTCCTGCATTAAAGCTTTCATTCTGCTGCATACTTTAAACACAAAAAAATTGAGATCGATTCAAAATTAGGGCTTAACTCTGCAACTTCTTTGTGTTGAAGAGAATCACTCCCCAATTTCAGACCCGTATCTGTTTTCTTCAGATTTTATTTTCTGTCCATTATGATTAAGAAGATCGCGATCATTAGTGTAACTTCATTAGTGATCTCAAATAACCTCTATTTATTCATGAGGAGTCTAATAGATGCAGAGACCTTGTTTGTGTCTTTTCCTCCAATCATCCAAGCCATCAGTTCCCCCACAACACTTAATCACCACTGTGCTTTTCTATCTGAAAAGATACTAATGAAAGGTGATTAGTGCCGCTCCGTCTGAGCTAATGAACCACTCTCCCCGACTGTCACCAGGAGAGGAGTCTCTGACAATATTTGTGGACAAAAGGAAGCTCAGGCTGGAGTCGTCGCCCTCGGGGGCCGAAGGCAGCAGCAGGAGCTCCAACATGACGGGGGCAGTGACTCTGGAGGCCCTCCACCAGCTGGCTGCTTCCTACTTCACGGACAGAGAGAGCACCCTGCGCAAGCTCCACCACCTCCAGATAACATCCAGCGCTATACGGGTATGTGTAAGAATGAAAGGGCAGCAGCAGCAGCAGCCCGCTGGGAAATGAGACCACAGAATCCTTACTGCCTAAAGGCAGCTGGTTGCTCTCCTGGTTGGCGGTTTGTTGGCCTCCAGCATTCACACCAGGGAGCGGTCGGTTATAAAACGTGGATGCTGTTTCCTGAAACCCATAAATGAATAAATTATTGAAGACGGTGAAAAAAGACCGCAGAACGGATCAATAACTACAGAGATATTTGCTGGTGATGGAAAAATCCATCCATACCAAACGACTGGGTTCATTTTGACCCAGTGCCCTTTCTAAAAACCCAACAATCTCAACTGTAGATGGCAAAATAATTCAGCAATGCCTTGGTGAAGATGAAGATAACAGCAGCAATCACTTATAAATAGAAAATAAAATATCTCAAATTTCAGTACTTTTATATAGTGGGGGATAGTATATGATTGTATACTATATATTGTACATAGTATAATGTATGTTCTATATTGTATATAGCTATAGATACTGTATTCATATATATATATATATATATATATATATATATATATATTAGGGATGGAACGGTTTATGAAAACCGTCCGAACCGTTCGGTTCGACTGTCTCGGTTCGGTTCGCATGTGTTGCGTTCGGTTCATGCGCTGCTCCTTTTCCTCATAGGCGAAGCGTGTACACTCCAGAGCAGAAGGTGGCGGTACTGCGAAGAAGAAGCGAAGCAGCGTAGACGGGTGTAGCAGAAAAAACTCAGTTGTTGTGGAGAATTGTGTGGGTATGGCGAATGGGAAAGCACAGGAGTTGGAAGACGCGCCAGCAGCACTTTATAGGTCTGCTGTATTGGACCACTTTGCATTTAGAGTGACCTACGATGATGGCGGAAAGAAAGTTGTGGATAAAAGTGCAATAGTGTGCAAGCATTGTGCAACACGTTTTGTTTATGCTAACAGCAACATGACCAACATGTCATGCTAACCCCGAAATCCCACATACTCCACCAGACCGCCTGCACAAAGCAAAGCCTACAGCCTCCACTGTGGCTCCCGTCCGCTCCGCTCTGAGTTCCTTGGAGATCGTAGAGGGCATGCGCAAGATGATTAAATTCAAAGCAGGAAAAAATGCGGAAATGATCCAGGGTTTTCGTGGATCATTAAAAATAATTACAAATCATTAATTTTTGGGGATTTTTTTATTAATTTCAATAATGTTTATGGGATTTCGGGGTAACAATCAACATATACCGAACCGAAAACCGTGACCACGAAACTGTGAACCGAATCGAACCGTGGATTTTGTGAACCGTTCCACCCCTTATATATATATATATATATATATATATATATATATATATATATATATATATATGCACCATCATCACCAAGTAAATTCCTTGTAAGTGCAAACCTACCTGGCAATAAACTTGATTTTGATTCTGTAATTAGTTTTTAGCAACATCCATGGTTGCAAAACTATTGATATATCTAACTATGGCATTATAATACATGAATGTGACATTTGCTTTTTTGGCTCATACTTTCTTTTTTAATGATTGGATTTTTTGAGGTTTTATTTATAACCTTTTGGAAAAAAAGGAACATAAAAAAAACAAGGTCAAGTGGTGGTAAATTAAATCAAGCATTTACTGGCGCATACATTTGAAAACGTCGCAGCCTTTTCATCTTTAATATATTAAAACTAATATAGACTCTTCATCGTTCCCTCTCTTGTCGCAAGGTTAAAGTCATTTTTTCCATTCTCCCATTTTTTCCATAATGGACGTAAAGTTAGTTGCAAAAGGAGGGTTTGTAATTTCAGGACGGTTTTCAGGAGGTAAGCATCATCAATGGTTACTTTGTCTGGAAGATATTACCCATGACCAGAACATGTGACCCTGATGTTCCCACACTTTTTCTAAAACAATGTAGGTGTTGGAATAAGACAATAAAAAACGTAAAAAATCCCAATTCCTTGTCTAGGTATCTTCTATAACAACAATGTTCATGTCCATTTTGGACCTCCTTTAATTTTGACCAAACACTGACACGGTTCACTTAAAAGAGCTTTATTACTTCCAGAAATACATAAATTTTAAATGATCAGACTTTATAGAAACATCTTTTTAGTAAGCCAAGAACTTTTGTTTCTCTGGGGTAGAAAAACAATGTGACACTGAGGTGTTTTGGTGTCTTGTTTTTGAGGATTCGTGCAGAGGAAGCAGGGACATCAAAATTCTTCGAAGTTTCGATGTTATTGAGCAGCAGAAGAGAATGGCATCTGGGTGGGGTGGGGGGCAGGTCTCCACGACAACAATTAGATGCTACCTACAGCTAAGCAAAAAGATGATTACATTTTCTGGCAGTTTGGATGATATTAAAAAATTTACTCACCCTAGCAGTAAAATTAGAGTTTGAAAAGGGCCCAGCAAGAGTCCCATCCCGAATGTTATTCAGGATTTCTCTGTGAAAAAAATGGCAATTTTTCAAAAATAAACACAGCAAACATGTCAGCCAGATTAGTGAAATCTAATTACGTCATTTTTTATTTCCTCTATTTATATTCAAATTGATTCAACTGATATTTATAATCAGTTATGGTTCTTACAGAGCTGGTAAATCACAGCTCAATTAAGGCCTTGTTTTAATCTTTGATAAAGATTAAAAAGGGGAATTCAAACAGTCTCTGTTTTTGCTGCTGGTAGTAGTTTTAGATTTATGAAAGATAAAACTCATTTTGTCATTATGGTTATAAATAAAACTATTATGTTCTTTTAATTTATGGCATGAAAAAAATACAGTGTATTTCACATTTTTTCAAATGTGATTCTCATATTACAAATGATGATCCCATGAATTTCACATGTGATTCCTATTTCTCATAGAAAAATATGTAACACTTGTAACATGTAACACTTTTTCACGTCATTCGGAAGTTTTTCCCAGGTGTCATGTTTTCGCGTGTGAGTCCCATGTTTTTAACATGTATCACGTTTTGAATGTGATTTAAGTTTTTCATATGTATCATATTTTCACATATGCTTCCCATGCTTTTCACGTATATTACATTTTCACATGAGATTCCCATGTTTTTCACGTATATTACATTTTCAGATGCGATTCCCATGTTTTTCACGTGTATTATATTTTCAGATGCGATTTCCATATTTTTCATGTGTATTATATTTTCAGATGCGATTTCCATTTTTTTCACGTGTATTATATTTTCAGATGAGATTCCCATGTTTTTTACATTTATCATGTTTTCACATGCGATTCCCATGTTTTTCACATGTATTATGTTTTCACATGAGATTCCCATGTTTTTCACGTTTTTACATGAGATTCCCATGTTTTTCACGTGTATTTTGTTTTCACATGAGATTCCCATGTTTTTCACGTGTATTTTGTTTTCACATGAGATTCCCATGTTTTTCACGTGTATCACGTTTTCACATGCGATTTCAAGGTTTTTCAAGTTTATCACGTTATCACATCCGATTTCAAGGTTTTTCACGCGTATTATGTCTTCACATGAGATTCCCATGTTTTTCACGTATATCACGTTTTCACATGCGATTTCAAGGTTTCTCACGTGTATTTTGTTTTCACATGAGATTCCCATGTTTTTCACGTATATCACGTTTTTACATGCAATTTCAAGGTTTTTGACGTGTATTATGTTTTCATGTGAGATTCCCATGTTTTTCATGTGTATTACATTCTCCCCAGTGATTCCCAGGTTATTCCCATGTATGACGAAGTCACATGTAATTGAAAGGTGTTCTCATATCTCACGCTTTCATGTGATTCATGGGTAATTTTTAAGTAAAGACATAAATTACCCATGTTTTTTATGTGTATGACGTTGTCACATGCAGTTTCCATGTTTATCAAGTGTATTTTGTTTTCACGAGATTCCCATGTTTTTCACGTGTATTCTGTTTTCACATGAGATTCCCATGTTTTTCACGTTTATCACGTTTTCACGTGAGATTCCCATGTTTTTCATGTGTATTTTGTTTTCACATGAGATTCCCATGTTTTTCACGTATATCACGTTTTCACATGCAATTTCAAGGTTTTTGACGTGTATTATGTTTTCATGTGAGATTCCCATGTTTTTCATGTGTATTACATTCTCCCCAGTGATTCCCAGGTTATTCCCATGTATGACGAAGTCACATGTAATTGAAAGGTTTTCTCATACCTCACACTTTCATGTGATTCCAATTTTTTTGCCTCTATTAAGTTTTCACATGTAATTCCTATGTTTTAATGTGTAACAGGTTTTCACATGTGATTCCTATGTTTTTAACATATATGTTTTCACATGTGATTCCAGTATTTTTCCACGTTTATGACATTTTATTTTATTTAAATTTTAAGCAAATGTGATTCACATTTAAGGCACATGTCTATAACGTGTGGAAAATGTGTTAATCCCCTGAAAATGTGATACACATGACTCCCATGTGAAAAATCAGGGAAATCATCTATAAATGTGATAAACATGTGATGCACATGTGAATCATGTGCTTAACAGTAACAGTTCCAAATCCAAATATTTAAATGTAATTTTACATGTGATTTACATGTGTACCACATCTTAATGTGACATTTTGTACATGGGTCTCACATCTGATTTTCATATGTAATGTTCATGGTTTTTCCTGTTACGGATTATAAAACTATTCCTTTTTTCTGTTATTAGATTAAGATCTTTGATCAGGAGTAATTTGTGATAAATCCATCACCATTCCCCTACTCTGCCTTACTTTGACACTGTACAGGGAAAATATTAATCATCAACAAAAACCTTCCTGTACAGTCCTCACATTAAAATGGGTCGAATTAATTTGCTCGAGTAAAATGCCAGAACAAGTTTTTAATCCTATAAACCGGGGCGAAGATTAGTCCTGCTGCTAATTGTCTTCATCTGCTAAAGTCTTTATTTCTGCGCTTTAATAATCACCTCCAAGACACAGCCGTTTGGATATTATATGA